GAGAGAGAGCATGAGAGGGGGGAGGGTCAGAGGGAGAAGCAGACTCCCTGCTGAGCAAGGAGCCCGATGCGGGACTCGATCCTGGGACTCCAGGATCATGACCTGAGCCAAAGGCAGTCGCTTAACCAACTGAGCCACCCAGGCGCCCATCAAATGCCCAATTTTCAACAACAACAACAACAAACACAAGGCAAAGAAACAGGGTAACACAGCTCATTCAAAAGGATAAACTAAATCTCTAGAAAAAGTCTCTAAAGAACACATGCTGGATTTACTAGACAAAGATTTTAAAACAACTGCCATATATATGCTCAAAGAGCTAAAGAAAACATGGACAAAGAAATCAGGAAGAGGCTGTATCAGCAAAGTGAAAATATCAATAAAGTATAAAAAAACTAAACAGGATTTCTGGAGCTGAAAAATATAATATCTGAATAGAAAAATTCACCATAGAAGATCAACAGCAGATTCAAACAGAAAGAAGAAAGAATGGGATAACTTGAAGACAAGTCATTTTAATTATTCAGTCTGTAGAGCAAAAAGAGACCGAGAACGGGGAAAAGTGAATAGAACCTGAGGGACATACACAACATCAGTAAGCAGACAAATACACTCATTGCAGAAATCCCAAAAAGAAGAAAGAAAAGGGGCAGAGAGATTATTTGAAGAATTAATTGGCTGGAAACCTCTCAAATTTGAGGAGACATGGATATACAAATCCAAGAATCTTCAGTGAACTCCAAGTAGCATTAACCAAGAGCCTAAACCAAGACACATTACAATCAAACTGTCAGAGCCAAAGACAAAAAGATATTCTTGACAGGAGCAAGAGAAAAGCAACTTGACATGTATGAATGATCCCAGTAAGACCATCAGTGGCTATCTCACCAGGAATTTGCAGGGCAGTGACAGAAGGATGATACACTCAAAGTGCTGAAGGGAAAAAAAAAAAAAAAAAAAACGAACTATCAACCAAGAATTCTACATCCAGCATAACTGTCCTTCAAAAAATGAGGGAGAAATTAAGACATTCTCAGACAAATAAAAGTTGAGGGAGTTTGATACCACTAGACTTGACTTATGAGAAATACTATATGGAGTCCCTCAAGTTAAAATGAAAAGATGCTAGCAATGTCCACAATAGCCAAACTGTGGAAAGAGCCAAGATGTCCATCGACAGATGACTGGATAAAGAAGAT